AAGTGTTAATAATTAGGAAAAAGGTTAAGAATTCACAAATAATCAAAACTATATGAATAGATAAAAAAAAAAAAAATATGAAAGAAATACAACTTCACTTTACTAATAATATTAATCAGTCATGCAATGGATTTCTGATTAACAATAATCAATAATTTATACTTCACTGTTAAATGATATAATTTATTCAAATATTAATTAAAGACATGTCTACTATTATTAATTCATACCCAAATAAGCTAAATATGGAACATAATATACAATATAATAATTTTAAAATATGCACGGAAACTTTAATGTTACTGTCTTACGGGTAGTCGGACTATCACCGTTCGTGCCCCTACGAACACAAATCATAGGTTCACTTGTTGCCTACAGAAGAGTGAAAAGAAATTTTCGTTTATTTTACCTGGACGATCATCACCATGTAGGCAAACTGGAGATGTCACACGACCGTCGTCCGCTTAGCTGTTGAAAAGTCGTCATTGGAGGACTCGAGTAAACAGAGACTTGGATCGGATCAGACTCTCGCGAGTCTTAACGATAAATTTATACTTGAATTATAAATCGTTTTTCGCCAGCGGACGACGTTCGGAAGACCGGCGTTCGGGTCACTGCAATTCCAACTAGCCAGTAGTGACTAGTGACTTTTTTTTTATTTATTATGTATTATCTCGGGGGCGCGCGTGCGTTATCAGTTTCTTGTGTTATCACCCTCGCTAAGTGTTGCCGTAGTAGATAAAGGAGGAAGAAAATTAGAAAACGGAGCCGAACTATCGTCTGACGGTAGAAAAGTCGATGATTGTACAATGTACATTTATAAAATAATTATATTATAAGATATATTATCGGCGTTCAGCATTGGCCGCCCGCGTCTGCCGTTCTTTTAATTTTTTATACCCCGACGGGCGATTGTGGCGACCGGCAATAATCTTATAATATAAAATTAAAATATAAATTTAAATCTGTTATCTGTAGCCTGTAGGACTTGTCATTCAGACGAAAATACTTATTGGCTACCTACCATTAATAAATATCAATTATCAATTACTACTTACCTATTTATGCGGTTATGTTGTTGTCGTCGTCGTTATTTTGTCGCAAAGCGAAATAAATTTCATTCGATACGTAGACATAATATCATATTATGTGCAGTCTTGCGGGACGTTAAACGATAATAATAATATTAATAAATAATATAACAATATTGCTGCAGTGCATTGTTGTAATGATGTGTACACATGTAGTATGAACTACGAAAACGAGTTTAATAATTGACTCGCTAAGGACGTCATCATGGTCGATCGTCTCTGCGTCGGTTCGTCCATTTAATACTACATAATATTATTATTATATTATTCATTCGCGCTACTACCGCGACCGTAATTGACGAGGCGGTCGGGCGCGGAGGTAATTATATTATAATATAATAATAGTAATAATAACAACGACGCACCGTTGAAATCAAACGAAATAAAAACCCCACAAAAGTACAATGGCACCGGATGCGTTCGTAAAAAACCGTATCGCGATCGTCGAATATATTAAAATATCAAAATATGTGTATTGCGTACCTACTCTCACGCGTTTATAATTTCCTAGTTCCTTCCGACTGTTTTTGTAGTTCAGCATCGTAATTATAGAGCTTGTGGGTAACAGATAGGGAAAGGTGCGTGAGGAAACATGAGTACATGATGCGATGCGATACAATTTTTCAAATAGGATATCTCAAAAATTTGTTTCACTTGTACCTACTTGAGTGTTAGATAATTTTATTATCCCGTCGTATTCACATTTACAATTTATAATAATTTTTGCGACTCAAGTCACTATCGCTATAGTATTATTATTTATTCTTGACATAATTCATTCACTTTATTATTTTTTTTACATTTATAGCTAGGTATTGGGTTTATCGTACCTACAATCAAATGATAATAAAATTATAAATAATTTATGTACCTATTGGTAATATGACTAGTATGGCGATATTATTTTATTTGGTTATAGGTACTCAAATATACAATATAGGTATACCATAAATACAACGATTAAGGGGAATAGGGTTTGACACTTATACCTCCCCATTCCATCGTGGGTATGCCACTGATATCTATATGGCGGAAATCTATCTATACTATGCGTGACCGTGCCGTTGTCCTCAAACCAATTGCGTTTATATCTATATGAGAATAACACCAATCATCTCTATAGGTGTATAAATTATTAGATGATGTCATTATTTATTGTTCTGGTTGTATTGTCTCATGTCCGAAATACAGATGTAGATTCCAAAATAATATAAAATATTAATTATTATTGTATTGTACGTGTGCACTGGTTACAGCCCGTTAAAACTATTTGGGAGAAAAATCGGTTTTTAAAATAATGATTTCGTTAACTGATATTTTGTTATACCGGGTATGTAAATCGACTCTCAGTGGTTTTTTCCTGTTTGTAAAAATATTCGAATGGGTCCAATGTCGAGACCACCTCAAGGTTATGTATAATATATGAATCACATGTGGTTATCATTATAATAATATAATTGTCATTATTAGAGGTCGAATTTATACTCTCTTAAAATCTTTTAAATATGATGTTTTAAATACTTCAAAGTGCAAAATATTATTTTAATATTCTGTAAAAAAGAATAATTATTCAAATTATTCAATATTTTTAATTTAGTTAATTTTGTTTACAATAACAATTAATTGGTGCATAAATTGTACATAACAATAATATGTAATATTATTATTATTTAATAATTTTTTTCGAAAAAATATTTGCAAAAATAAAAACATTGTTATTCTCATAGTAATGTATTAAAATTTTCTAATCCTTGAAGTATGTTTTTATGAAAAATAAAATGTTTTTTACGAGTCGTAAGTATAATATTATATTTTCATTTAACTGCAAACACTAGAAATAAACATGTAAAATCATAAAAATCCGACCTCTAGGTACATTATACTATGATAAAAAATAAACTTTGCTACATTGTATACTCAGATATTAGGAGGTAGGTACATACTACATAGGCCTGGTGGAATATGAGTGTAAAGTTATATTCTGTTGATCACGGAATCTCATTGATTACAGTTTTCTCAACTATGAATTAATCACCTTTAAATTGAATTTTCAAGATAAATTATTTAAGAATCATATTAAATCTTTAGATTTAATGTAGATTATAATTCAGTTATACGATTTCTTGGATTTTTACGATGACACATTAATAATCTCAATTTAATACCTACCGGCTACCATGTTTTTTATAACATTTTATTCTACTATTGTACGTACTGTGTATTTTTGAGTATGACTTGATATTATATAAAACAGTTATTTTCAAATTGAAATAAAATTAATTGAACAGATTTAGAGAAAGTTCATAAGTTATATAGGTTTCTTATCAAATATTTATTATCCTTGTAATTATTATGAATTTGTTATAGTAGTTTTAAATTTTAGTTCTTTCAGGAATAATAAGCGGCTAAGGACAAATTAAAACTTTTTAGTAAAACTACTCCACCTAAAGATTGATTGATTCATCTAGGTTTCCTTATTCATAAATAGGGACCAGATTAATATGCAAATGTATATATGTATTGGAAATTGGAATTAGGTAATGGAAATCTAATGAGAATAATTGTCTCCGATTTAGATCATTCTTATTAAAATAATACTAGTTTAATTGTATTTTGCATATTTCAACGATTTTACCTATTAAATGTATATTGAATTCATATTAGTAGTTGTATAGTGTATATTATTATCTATACTATATATTATATTTATTTTTTGTCGAATTTTCACGTTCATAGTCACAATATAATATCAATAAAATTACTACCGGTTGTTATTGCCAAAGATAAGACGACATATTTATTACTTATATGCAATAAATGTATAAAATATATTAATATAGATTAATTTTTGTTTTAATTTTTTATTAATATGGGCTAATATTTTTTACATTGAAGATAAAGAATGTAAAATGACGAAGAAGACAAAATACTTTTTATACCCTTTTTTAATATTTAATTAATTAATACTTATTTTTTACATAATTTTAAATGAAATATTTTCGATTCAATTTTTAGAAGCATATTTTAAGAATTTTTATGAATATAAATCCGGTTCCCAGTTATAAATTATATTGTCTTAAGTAATGATTAACGATGTTTATATATTATTTTATAATTTATGACATAAGTAAAAGCCGATAAGAATTTATACCTATAAATAAATAGATAAATATGATAGTTAATCGAAAAATTCATAAATAACTTCAAGCATTATCCTTCAAAAAATATATACAAACGAGTAAATATAATACGTATGTGTCATAATATTATGTTAAAAAAACATGGCAGACAATGTTTTAAATATTTGCTGATGCGAAATAAACAATATAAACGTAAAACGTAATTCGCAACTACCTATATGTTAACCGTTTTTAATTAAAAAAAATGTAGGTACGATCTGTTTAATTTGATACAAAATACAATACGAGTATAAGTCAAGATTGCCAAGTATATTATAAAGACAAAATATGGTAATATAATTTTGACGAAAACAATAAGCCAATAATGACACTTTATTTTTACACTACTAGACAAGTATATAGTTTATCTTAACAACATTTTTGTTTCAGATATCTTTGATGACTATCATTTGCCAGATTTTGAATCAGAAGATTTGATTGTTTTAAATTAAAACTAATTTCTATCCTTTGTATTAAACGTACTTAATTTTATGCATAATTTATACTATATAGGTAAGTAATGTTGACAATACTCATGTTAAAAAATATTATTGTTTTGGTTGAATTTAGCAAACATTTCTAATGGAATATAATAGGATCTTTGAAAAACATTAGTTAATTTTTGTCTTTTTAAGTATTTTAATGTATACATATTATATATTTATTTAAAAAAATTTTACACCATGAAAAAAAATAACACATTCAAGTATTAATTGACATTACTTGCTGGTTAGCTAGTCTTTCGTACTTCATCCTTTTTATTTTTGCTATCTGTAATTGTTGCTGTTTCGATTTTCGAAATGACCTAAAACATACAGTTTTATTAAAATTTATATGGTATAATATGTAAAAAATGGATAAATAATGAATAATGATTTACACATGTATCTATATAATTACTTTATATGTAGGATAAAGTCCTACTAATCCCGTTCTTAAATTTTGGCCTTTTGAATAACCGTTCCAATGATTACTATCCACAAAGATTTGATCTCCTACTTGTAAATCTATTTTGTATAGTTTATTAGCCTTATGGGATAATACCGCTTCGTTTAACCTATGATCTTGACCATAAAAATAATATATATCATCTAATGATGTGTACTGAGCTGATGCATCGGGATGAAGACTGTTCATTATTTCATAAGCTATTCGACACATCTATAAATTATAAAAGAGTTTAATTCAAATTGATATAAAGTAGTTAAATTATGGTAACTTGGATACTTTTTAATTAAATAGTCATAGGTACCTGTGACGAGAAAGTACAAACTAAGTGGTCGCTAAGTGATAAAAAATGTATGTCAACAATTCTACCATTTAAAACTTTTTTAAAGTTTTGATTTTTCATGGTCGCTGTTTTAGATATGTCTTCGGAACCAACTATTTCGTATTCGGGATAACTAAAAAATTTAACGTATAAATGTAGAATACAGTGTTCGCGGACAATGGATATGCTATTTAAATATTATTTATTTAATTTACATATTTGCGTTTGGCTTCATCAAACAATGTTGGCTCATTTGTAGCTAAATAAATTCTTTTCTGATTAACTTTACCACTCAGCTTTTTTCGTTTATAATAATCTTCAACGTGAACCATGTATTCATCTAGCGTGTGTATACTAGTTTCACTGATGAGTTTGTCTGTTCTCCTTATGTGCAATCTAAACACATACGGTTTACACATACTTAAATTTTAGGTAATCTATTTAACGCGTAAAACACAATATATTTTAATATTTTCTCTATCATTAATTTTTTTTTTAAATGAATTACTTTTTTAACTATAAAAATATGTGTTATGTATAATTCTTTATTGCATAATAGGAGTACAGTAGAACCTCGATTATCCGAGTTAATTGAGACCGTACTTTTTCGGTTATGTGAAAGTTTGAATATTGGAAATTATATATATTTATATACGTATAAACGTATAATGTACATGTGTTTATCAATATTTATAGTTATAAATATTACCAAAAATTAAACAAGTTTTATTATTGTATATAATTGTTATTATGATAATTATTTATTATTATATTTAAATTTTAAAAACAATTACATCTTTTAAAAATATATAAGAATATATATTTGGTATATATTTATGGTAAATCCATCGCATCTCGATTTTCTACAAAACGTTCATGCATCTATTATATTATGTATGTTATAAAAGTAACCCTCCACTAATCATAAGGTCACTAAAGTGACCAGTTTACTTTATTTGTCTTTGTGTTACTCAATAATAGATAAAGATTTGTACTTTATCATGATAAATCTACATTATCAAATATATTATTATTTGTTTTTAACAAGGTTCTAAAATTAGAAATTATATAAAATGAAAAATAATTTCATTTGATAAATATTTTTGATGATATAAAATTTTATTGTGACTAAGTGCTTTTGACATTATATTGGCAACATTGATGTAATTTTTTAGTTCGAAAATAATAGTTACACTGTTCGAAAACTACTTGGGAATCTATAAATAATATTCGATATAGTTTTAAAAAAAATATTCTTGAACACTCTTGTATTTATATTGATTATAGTTATGAGGTCATTTACGACCTTCCATGCTGCCTGTTATATATTGTATTATGGCATATTTGTCCGTATAGCGTTGACGCTGATTAAACGATTATTATTATTTATTATTTTGTTTGACGTAAATATTTTTATTATTATTTAAATATTTTTAACTTTAAAAAATAGAAAAATTAATTGAAAAAGATATTGAAAATCTTATTTATAATATTCTTGATGAAATTGATGATGAATTTAGTGATGAAATAAATTATGATGAGTTGTTTATATCTTTGATTAACCATGTAAGGATATTTCTTTATATTTATACAATATACATATATATTTTAATACGATGTATCTAATTAAATATGTATTTTAATACGATGACGAACCAAATTCTGTTCATTATTTACTCCCAAATAGTCAACCCGATAAATCAAATGAAGTTTTCACTTGTCGACTTATTACCGCGAGAATAGTTCGCTACCAATTGAAATAGCTAACGATTTCACAATTGAACTTTTTAGCAAGTACAATATTGAAAATATTTGAGTTGAAAATAATCCCGAGATAATAGCAGATAATAATTTATCGTCATTATCAGCTGCTAGTTCTAACATTTGTGTGTCTAAAAACGTCTCTAAAAAAAAAAAAAAATTGAAAGCAATACTTACATATTTTAAATACATGATTCTCGTTCTAAAAATATATTTCTAATCTTAAAGAAAAGCTCAAAATAGTTTAGAAATAGAGTAATTTTGTGACAAACTTTGAACACATAAAATTCATTAAATCTGGTTGTCTAGCAAATTACATTTTAAACTTAACTTTTTAGAACAAACTAGAATTTTTCATGCGCAACAAAATTCTATGAAAAGTGTCAATATTAATAAAACTGATGACGAACAATAATTAGATTTTGTAATAATAGTATTGATAGTTCACATCCTAAATTTAAGGAGCTACTGGTCATAAAAAAACATAAATAAATTCATATAAATACATAAACACATGAGTGGCGTTGATATGATGCATTCGATAATTAGTTGTTAAAAAATTAGTATAAGAACTAAAAAATGGTTTATGAAATGCTTTATCATTACCCAACTGGACATGAAATTAGTAAGCTCGTGGTTGATTTGTAAAAAATTTCATGGGAATAAATAAATTTTGGCAAAATTCAAAACGGAAGTTGCTGTTAGTTTTTGTCAACAATATAAAAAATCAACAAGAGGAAGGCAAGCTTTTTTAGAAAATAAAAATAAAACCAACTGTTTATGTACCAAACTTTGAAGTACGAGTGTACGATTGAATGGACAATATAATTGGTCTTGCTGAAGTATAGAAAGACGTCAATGCAAAAAACTAGAATGAAGTGACAAGACATATACTCAATATGAAAAATATAAGGTTTATTTATGCAAAAAAATAGAAAAGCCATGATTCAAAATGCCCCATACAACTTAACTTATTGCTATAATATAAAACTATAAGTAAAAACATTACAATTATTTGTCAAAGCAAAAATTTTTATTTGTATATTTCAGTATTTATTATTATTCTATAAAGAAAAGAGTAAAATGTATGTAATTATTTAAAAAATTAAAATTAGTGTTTTATATTTAAAAGTATTAAAGTATTCTTTGTATAAAATATGTATCTATGAATACACGGAAGTTCATAATTATTGATCTCAATAACAATATTGCCAATGTGCTTGCAAATTTTGATAATAGATGATTTTTTTTTAGATGAAATCCTTGTAAAATTTCACATACGTTAGAATTTTTTTACGGAAATCTAACTTATCATGCAGTGAAGATGACTTTTGAAGCAATTTATTTATAAAATAAATAAATTAAGATATTAATAAAATCGATATTATATTTTAACGTTCGGATAAGGCAATTGTAATTCGGATAATAGTGGGTTTGTATAACGAAGGTTTGGATAATCGATGTTCTACTGTACTTAAATGCATACAAATAAAATTTAGGATGAGTAATTTATGAGTTATGAGTATTTACAATTTAGAAGTTTAGAGTGGTGTAAAAATGTTGGTTCACTACTTAACTAATAAATAGTTTGTCTAGAATTTTTTTTTTTTGTATAGATTAAAATACTCTGAAAAATATTCTGCTTAGTAATATGAAATTATAAATGCATATTGTATAAAAAAGTAAACAATTAAACATTTTTAACAGTAAATATGTTAACGATATAATTTTTCTCTAATCAAATGTTTTAACATCTAAAAATATGTAAATGTTTTCAAAACATTAGTATTTTATCTTGAAATTATGAGTGTCTTACGTTAAAATTTAGCGTTTAATGGATTATCCAGTATTATAAGCATTTTAACGCGTACATTATATATTGTATTAAAAATAAATATTTGTTTAGTTAATAAGGTAGTGTTTTGTCTGTTATGTACATTTAAAAGTAAAAAAATTTTATTTTAAATTAGTCTTAGTATTTTGTTTAAGCATTTGTATTTACTCTATCTGTATACTTATATAATATTATTAGATAATTATTATACAGAAAAGTGAGTTGGCAAAAATACTATACTATATTAGCTTCAAACTTACATTAAGATTAAACAGCATTATTTTAATATTTAAATTTCGTTTACAGAATCACAAGTCAACAAAAAATGTTGTATTCAATGTTGATATTTTAGTTGTGGATCTTTTTTTTTTTATTATAATGTAATTGTAGATATGAAGCATAATACTTAATGTTATTGGTAATAATGTAACATTTATTCGGTGAGAACAATTATGTTTATGTAGTTAGTATATTAAATTATGAGTTAAAATAATAATACATGTATATACAATATGTCAACTAGGTATTTAAATGTCTAAAAATATTAAGTTACTGTATTTTTTAATGTATTTCATACATATAATATTTTATTTTATTATTATCTTTACTAATGAATGATACATATTTTTTTAAGACTTATTTTGTAGATTTATACCTGCCAAAAAGTTTAGGGTGTTTCTTTATACATAGTACAATATTAGAAATTAATAAAAAAAATACTTGTTTTTAATATTAGTGGCATTATTAAAACGTTACCCAACGATCGGTTTTTGGAATTTGAGTTTTTTTTGCGTAATAATTTAAAATATAATTAGTTGATTCTTGCAGTCGGAGCAAGTATTTAAGAATCTGACCTATCCACCATACAATAGGATCTCCATGCAAGACAGTTAACCGCTCAGCCAAGTCATTAGGTATCACTTGTGGCAAGAAATAAGGTTTTGGGTGAATTAAATCAATTGGGGGTAAATGAATTATTTGAGAGTTTTGATGGCCTGTATTGAATATACATATTATTATATAAAATAATTGGAAAATTAATTTTATAAAATTACTTATTGAAGATTAATTTAAGTTACCTGGCCATTCAACAACTGATACATTTTTTAACAAAGTATTCGAGTCACTCAATGGAAGGAAAACATCTTGCCATGCTTCACCATATGTCCAATTTTTATAGTCTAGAACTAGCATTCTTTGAGTATTGTATGCGACGATAAGACAATATACGACATGGTGTAATTGACAATTGAACCCACAATTCTGCAACATTATAATTTATGATATTTATATTATTAATATTGGTTTTATAATATATTACAGACAAATGCCTATAGTAAGATATCATTACTATTATTACTGAAAGCTTTGTAAAAATCTATTATTACTAATAACGATAATATATAGTTGAATAATTATTTAGGCATACGATACACTACAACATCCCAATATTTTTAAAATATTGTTTTTGCAATACTAAAAATATCTAAATACAGGTACCTAATTATTGAAATATTTTATGCTTAATATTTTTTATTTGTAGATTTGTTGCTATAACAAAATATTAAATAGAATTATTTTATTTGGCATTAAACAGTTAAATTAAAGAAACAACTTTTTTGTTAAACAGTGGGTAAACGCTAATTGTGACACTCAATATTTTTACGTAGCGCTCTAAAATTTGAATTCTGTTTTTAGTTGGTTTTGGTTGTTATGACATAACAATACACATTTTTATTGCCTTTGAATTTCTTAACTTACATAGATGCGCGCATATACATTAAATCTCTTTTTTTTTTTTTAATGAAAACTACCTATTTTAACTACTTATTTTATTTGCCTAATATTTTTAATGAACTTTGGTACTTCAACTAACTTTCTAATTTAAAAATTGACCAATTAACAGAAATCCACAAAAAAATTTGCAAAGTGCACACAATTTTCAGGTTTTTGACTGTAATTCTAAAAATAATTATTCTAGGATTAATTTATTTACCCCTATTTTTTAAGATACTATTTACACGTTATTATAATTTTAACTACCATATAATTTTCACTTTAATTTGTGTATAAATTTTAACTTAAAGAAGAAAAAACGAGTATTATAACTATAAAAATTCATTAAAAATTTAGGTGAAAAAAATAAGTGGTTAAATAGGTGATTGTCATTAAAAAAAGAGTTTTACTGTGTACGCGCGTGTTTAAGTAAGTTGAAAAAATTCAAAGACTATAAAAATGTAAATTTTTATGTTATAACAATCAACTAAAAAACAGAATTTAAATTGCAGGGATCTACGCAAAGATATTAAGTGTTCTCAACATTAAAGTTTACACTGCACTGTATATATAGGTGCTATAAGATACTGAAAAAAATTACTTATTGATCTTTCAAAATTCTGTGATTAATTTATTCCAGATTAAACAATATATTTTGAAAAGAAACGTAGATTTTGTTTTTAATATTTGTTTTATTTTTGTTTGCGTTTATGGTAAAAAAATCCCAATATCATTATTGTATAAATTTGTTTTGTAATATATAACTATGAAAAATATTAAACCTAAAAATTTGGTAGTAAAATGTATTTTGTATTCAATTTATTTCATAGAGTATAGTTTATATTATGTAGATATTTGCTGTTTTTATTTCAAATATGCATTAAATAATTTCGACCAGACTATCCGAGACAGAATAATACTGTCGCTACAAACCTTTTTAAATGTACAAACTAGCTGTCTTGCTGTGAATAAATTGGGCGGGTTTTGTATTTTTTTAAATCTGTTTTGAACTAAATTACTTAAACTTTCAGATTCTTGTTGTCTCCACGTCGAATAGTTGTCGACTTCAGCCAAACCGGAAACGTCTTTTAATAAAGATCGATAGTGTTCGCCGGCCATATTTTTAATTTCATGAAGACGTTCTACATTTTTTATTGATTTATTTAATGATTCTAATCCAGAATTGATATAGTACCAAAATTCTTTGGTGTTTGAAAAAATACGACGTCGTAGAACTTCGTAGTCTTTTGATGGGGTGATTGGTTCAATGTCCTTCAATTCCTGTAGGTTTACAGATTGATTTATTTATTATATTATTTAAAGCCCTCATTACTCTGAAATACTCAATTATTTTATTTATTTAAAATCAATTTTTCTTCAATTAAAATAAATGTGTTTTTTAAATAGAAATTTATCTTTTTGTTATCTTTATAAAATGAAACAGTGCATTTCCTTAAACAGTGTAGAATTAACTATATAATAACTATATAGATTTGTGCAGATTAGTGTGAGAAAATATGTTATACCTTTCGTTGATGACAAGTTTTAATCAAGTATGTTGCCGGTTTTCTATTTATTTAACACTATTATGAAAATTTATTATATTTAAAACGAATAAATTGAAAAAAAAAGAATCAAAAGTTTATTTACATAATAGTTAATATAATATTATAATATTATGAGTAATTCAAGACAACGAGTGTTTCATTTCGTTAAAAATATCACCCTGTGTATATTTTATGTTAAGTACCTACTTTTTTACTTTGCTGGATTCTTATTCTAAAACAAAAATACAAACAATTTTTATAATTTCTATCATCAATCCTAATATTTATATACTCAGAGCTCTGAAGATATTGTTTTGTCATTAATGCTCATTTAAAAATGTTTTTTTTTTTTAAATTGTAAAAATGTTCATATTTTATGGATATATGTAGACGTAAGGCATCTTAGAATTAGATTAATTATATTATTATACGAGGGTAATATGATAAATATTATAATGATTTCATAAATTAATTAACACTAACAAATCATACTGTTGTGAAGAATAAAAGCCTTTGAAAATATAAGCGCATATATTCAATGAGTAGGTATCATTACAATATGTAATGTAGTGTACTATAACTGTAATACTGTAATAGCTAAATATAAATAGGTATAATGGAAAATTCAAACAATTGAAAATCTTAATAAAATCTTCAAGACTCACGTATTTAGAATATTAGTATATTATTGCAGTAAAAATGTAATATTACTTTTCATTCAAGATGGCCAATTCAGCATTTAATTTGTCATTGGCCAACTTCAGATTTTCTAGTGTCTGTAAATATTTGGTTAGTCTTCGGTTATTAATTTGAAATTGGCAGTCATCTTGGTTGTATTTAAAAATTAGAACTATAAATAATATTAATACAAATGCGACAAATCCAAGTATGTTCATGGACCACTTTATCCTCATTATCCTGGAAGTACACGGTTTCTGTTTAAATAAAAAAACCGCTCAGGGTTTCTGGATTACGTGTATTATAAGCATTCTTTTTAAATAAATAAAGCAATTTACAATATATCAAGTTTAAAATAATAAGTAAATTTGCGTGAAATAACAATAAGTATTGAATGACTTCAGTTAAAGTATTGTATGTACAATAATTAATCACGGTTGTTAAAAACAGTAATCATAAAGTCATGAAATATACTTCTGTTTTTATGAGATATATTAAATATATGTGAAACCCGACTTTTGCTTGAACAAAAAGTTTACATTCATAACCATTTGAATTGGTAGTATATTCGTCTTATTTTAAAATCAATTATTTAACTTTTAATAACAAATTCACATAAATAATATCAATATGTAAACATCCGAAAAATGTTTAAATTGAACTTTTAGATGTATGTTAGTTGTGCTTAACAAAATGTAATACTTACTTATTTAAAATATAAAAAACGTACACAAAGTATATTTATATATATATATATATATATATATATATATAAGTACTTAAACTCGTAAACGAAATAAAAAATCGTTAAGAAACTACATTACAAAATGTATTGGTCGCGTATACGTTTTTTATGATTATAGCAATATTATTAAAAAAAACCTTTGAATATAATATTAATTTATTGCCAATTGAACGAAGGCATACATGGTTCTGTGTATTGGTAAGTAATAACAATGCCAATGTTGATATAACGTGATTCTATGTACTATTATATATATTATCTATAAACAGTGCAGTATAATAATTATCACTTACAAGCTTATTTATAATATTATGCATGCATATTTTTGGTTAAACAATGACAGGTCCGTACAATAACAATTACACTGCACGCGTAAACATGATTTTACAAAATTATATTATATTTAGGCACCATGTACAATGTACATGAAATAATAATAATTTATATTTTATAATGTACAGCGTGCATCACGGTGATCCGACACATTAAAATATGATATAAAGGTATAGTTGTCATATCTTCCTGATACATATTATATATATTTGTTTATTTATGTGAATTGAGTAGAGGTGGTACCTAGATAGGTACGCTGTGCACATAATTTTATGATTTATATTTTTAGATCGCGTACAGTGCGATTTGTTTGTTTTGTTGATGTACATAATATGATATTATAATGGATATTATTACAATATGCACGTGGCGCTGTATATACACTATTAATTAATGATGTGGTTAATACTTCATTGTGGCAGAGTATTATGTTATAACATAGAGAATTTAACGAAATACTCGTTCAATGACCTAAATAATATAAAATTGTTTGCGAAAAGAACATAGGTAATTGTATAGCCCGATATTCTTCGAGGTTAGATTTACTAGTTAATGATCAGTGATCACACAATAATGAGTATTGAATTGCAAGTCTATCTCGCAATTTAAAACACTTTCCCTTCCCTCTTCACGCACAGATAGTCTAAAAGTTTTAAATTCAAAAAATGGAGCGAAAATATGGTATAAGCACTGTATGTTTATTTACCTAAATACGTTCATATATAATACTATGTTGGCTTATGTTTAATTACAGCTTCTATTTTTGATAGCCAATAATAACACAAAGTGTGTACCTACTTAGTTCAAAATTAGAAGTGTGCTGTACGGATTTGAGAATAGTATGTAATTGTATTATAGTGAATAATGGTTATAAATATAGGTAAACCCAAATACTCGTATTAGGCAAAATAAAATTCATCCGTTCGGATTAAAACAAAAATAATACTGGGTATGATGGATATGTTTTCCTGGAAGAAAGTCTAAGCTAGTAGGATAATGAAAGGTTTTGGATTAATTCATTTTTAAATCAAATAATTTTCATGTAATATAAGTATCTATAAATTATTTTATATTTCCTAAGTATATTTTTTAAGTTTTTGTTGATGGTAAATTGGAAAAAGGAGGGTTATGAGAGATTTATATGTTATGTTATTATATGATATCACATTTTATTTACACACAATTTATAAGATTGTATCCATGCAATAGCAGTGTGGTTTTTTTTTTATTTTGAATGTATTTTAAATTTTTTAACAATTATTTAATTTTTTAAATATTTTATAGGTATTTGCGTTTGTGAAAAAATTGGTTTTGCTATTAATTAGTACCTAATTATTACGTATACTGTAGATAAAGTCTTTATCTATATAAAGTCAAAATTAACCATAAAATACCAGCAATAGAGCTACAATACGTTACAACGAATCTAGAGATGGTTTGAAAATGGTGCAATAAAATATAGTGTATTTAATTAAATTTTTTTTTCCACCTGATTTTAGTTAAATTTAATTAGTGTTGTGAAAGAAATTGGAAGAATTTTAATCATGATTATTATTCTAGTTAATTGAAAATTAAAATTATACATCTTAGTTTGTAAATGATGTCCTAACTTCATCAACATATTATGTTATATACATTTAAACCACCTCTAGGCACATCAACATAAAAGTTTGATTTTAGAATAAATTATACTCTAAAATTAATGATATAACTATATATGTTCTTATTTTTAAAATTTTTTCATTACGTGGACTTAATTTAATCACAATTGATCTTATCCGAACTAAATATGAATGCGAATACGGTAAAATATAATTGGTTTCTATTTACAATATGTGGTGGGTCTATGTATCAGTTATCAGTATTATATAATATAGAAATGTTTACCCCGCAATTGGTTTTTAGAAATTTATTGATAAGCTAAATTCGTTAAATACATTGTTAGTGGATGGTTGCGGCTGAAACTTATACTTGAGGAACTGGCATATCTATCATACAACGGGGTAATTGTGTAAGACGTTTATTCGTCTAGCTAAGTCCTCAGGCAGTTTAACTGGAATATAAGAGGATGAAAACGTTTGGCAGCGAATACCTGCGTGGGCAGAATAAGATTTATCACTTGAGTGCTTTCGATGGCTATAATATATAATCAAGTAATTTTGTGAAATAGTTTATTATATGTTAGCGTGGTTTTGGTATATATAATAAACTCAAATATGAATACTGTAGTGGGGCGAGGAGACTAAATTAAACTTCACAATTTTTCTGAGAAACTTGTATTAAATCAATCATTGCACGATACGAGTTAATGACCTTAACAAGATTTTTTTGCAAAATAGTGGTTCAATCAAAACAATGATTTCCATTTATTACCTAGGAGTTAGGTTAGTAAAATAAAAAAATATTTCAATTACAATTATTTTTATCAACATAGTACCGTACAATAAATATTGGAGAGGTGAATTTTAAGTTCTTAATAAATGAAATGTATAAAAAAAGGAATTGAGTAATTTTATCATACTTTTATAGTTAAAAATATATGAGAAAAATATTTGTGTAATATGAATGGCTCATTATAGATATTTACTCTGAATTTGTGCCTGTTACGAAAAACGAGAGATTTATCACGATGAACTTATCTGGCCAGAGTAAAACTGTTCATCAACAATAATTTACTGTAAGTTTCTTTGGTAGTTATTAATAAATATGAGATTGATGTTTATACAGTGAAACCTTTCTTAACGGACACCTCTAATTAGCGGACACCTCTCAATAACGGACAAAATTTCCGGTCCCGACATAGTCCCGTTACATACATATTATTTTATCAATTTTTCCCAATAGCGGATAATTTGGTCGGTCCCGTGAGTGTCCGCTATTCAGAGGTTTTACTGTATTGTATTTTTTTGAGGAACGTGGTATAAAAATACCATTTATATAAACTATAAGACGTGTAAAAACGAAATGACCATTTTTTGTAAAACGTAATTTAATTAAATAATAAACATAATGTTATTTTTTTATATTTGGCTTAAAAATTAGATAATTAAAGTAGTTTTATATTAATTATACGGCTAGTAAAATGACAAAGTGTCTGATAGTAGGTATATTAAATGTAATTTGTATACATAAAGTAACGTATAAATTATGCCCAAGAGGTCTATTTGGCCACAACCACATGAGGGTACAATATTTTATACATTTATAAGAAATGTTTAAAATAGGTACAGTTTTTAAACATACTAAAATATTTTTTTAATTATGCGTATTCATGTGTAAAACAAATGTTCTATTGATCAATGTGTATTAATGGTTTATTTAGCAGCTTCTGTTACTGTAATATTTGTGCCTGTATTGGTAACATAAATCATAATTACGGTGATATTAACGTTTACAAATAAATGGAACGGTGCGAAATATTTATTATACTTATCATTTATTGAACATATTATATTTATTTGAAAATTATTTCTTTACATTAGATTGGATTTAAGAAAAATTGAGGTTTTTTTGGTAAGTATAGATATTATATACTTATACAAAGATTTGGAAGTATAGACTAGGTCGACTTGGGCTTCAAATTGGTTAAATTTTATTTTAGTTCTATATTATCAAAGAAAATAAATAATTTTAAAATACAAGAAAAAAATGTAATAATATGTATTCAGAAACTATGTATTGGGTATAATTATTATACATTATACACATGCACAAACATAAGAAAAATGGTAAAAAAAAACAATTCAAAACGTCAAACAATGCAAACGTCTGTGCAGAATATTATGTGTGTTAGTACGATTAAAAGATAAGATAAGGAATACTGCAGTATAATAGGATGGTTTGTGTTTTTTTTCGTTAAATTTCTGTAATCTAAAAATATAAAATATAAACGTACACAATTTTATTATTATATACTATCATACTTAATAATTTTTAATATAATATAACGTTATATTTATTATTTGCGCGTTGAAAGGAGTGGGAGAAATTCCGTATAATACCTAGTTCTGTTTTATTTTTTTATTTTACATGTAAAATATACGTTTAACGTATATATTCTGTTTTAATAGAAACACAAAAAAAAATAAATATTTTTACTTGAAAAACGTATTACGCTTGTTTTTCTATGGTGTCATAAACGATTGTATGCTTTTTTTTTTTTTTTTTAAAACGAATTTTGAAGTAGGTATATATACGATAATGTCGTAGACCTCGAGCCGTAAAGAGAACAATACAATTTTGTGAGCATATCGTATCGCCATAGATTGCACGGAGAAATGTGACACGATGATTTTTCTTTTAAAGCTTTCGTAGAGTTAAAAAAAAATGTTTATTAACAGACTAAATGCAATCGACAATTTAAAATGTATATGAAATATTAATAATTTTGAAAAGCGAAAGGGACACAGAAGCTAAGTAAATATCTTCCAAATTATATATTCGTGATATACTGATATAATAATATACTATTTATTAGTGCGGCAATAAAATAGTAATTAATGCCAACTACAACATGATGCACTTTTGGTTTAGGCTATGATCTACATATTTGTTAGTTCAGGGTTAGTGTTGTGCACCTAATCGAGATTTTGAAGAGTTATGGCAAGCGTTTGTTCTAGATTGTCGTCAAAAGGTAGATCGAATTCAAAAGCTTAAAAAGTTTTGCGGATCTACTCGGATAAAAATTAAAAATTTTAAGTCTTATTTTAAAATGTTAAAATAATGTAAAAATGTGTGAAAAATTAGATAATAGTCAAATTTCAACTGTTTAATACTTAATGAATACACTTAATAAGATTTTTGTTAAGATATTGTTCACTATTTTTTTGATTTCCACATAAACATTTCTCATGAATGCTTTAAGAATATGTATGAAATGATCATCTGTTAAGCGTAGTTCGTGTTGGTTTTTATTTTTTTTTCATAAAAGAAAAGATCAATTTGCACACAATGTAAATTTTAACATACAATTATATTTTGCACCTACATTTTTAATTTTTGAAAACGATGGAGCGAGTTCAGCATAATGAAGTGAATATGATTGTTTGAATACATCTTTAAGAAAATCTCGGAATTAAAAGTTTATTATTTTTATTGAAACTCGATAAAATGGACTGGCAAGTAAATGGAAATATTGCAAACATCGTTTAAAATAATAAAATCGATTTTTAAATTTGTATTGAATTATCAAATAGATCTAAAAAATTTAAATAATGAAAATTTAAAAAGATTTTACCAAACAAAAAAATATGTAAATTCATTTTTATCAAAATGAGACCGTTAAAGTTTCAACTTAACTTTAAAAGATTTAATATACTTAATATATGACTAAATTTCAGGAATAAGTTGATTTTTACTTTGTAATTTAAATTAATTTTATTCATATATTTCAATATATTAACGAAAAACGTCAGTTCAGAAATCTAACGTCTTTTTCTTTTTTTTCCAAAAGTTAAGTAGTATAAGATCAGGGGATATAATAAATAATTGACAATTAAATTATTAAATTATCATTTATAGATACAAATATACATTTAAGAAAATGCCTAAAAATATAAAATATTCAATTTAATTGTCATTTTAGAGCGGTGCATATTGAATAGTTGCATGAGCCACCGGTCGTCAACCAATGCTGACTAATATTCATCACAGATAAAATTTGATTTTGGCTGAAAAAATTTTGGTTCTTTGAAAACTTTACTCATATTTATTGGATAAAGTAAAGATATTATTTATAAAATATTGATTTCGTAAATTATCCAGATAATTTGTACATATTATCAATATTTTAATGTGTTAAGTGGATAATTAAATAAAATAACAGCTAATAATTTAATGAAATCTTATTTTTAAAATTATGGTTTGGTTCATAGACATTACTCGTAAAATAAAAAATAAACAATTTTTACTGTATCTATGTTTTTTATTTCAGTTCACCAATCGTCATTTCAACGTTCATAAGTTATATTATTGTTTTAATAAATATAAGTAAATTATGAATGTAATTATTTTTCTAATTCTTCAGCGTCTATTTTCATATCAGGATAACTGGCAAAAGACATAACTTCGATTTTTCGGGTTACCTAAAAAAAATATTTCGTAATATATATAGGTATTTAATAATAATGTTATGAAATAAGTTACTAATAAGGTACTTTAAAAGTAGGATACAAAAGAGATTTGTTTGTTCTAAAATTTGTTCCCTTTGAATAACCATTCCATAGATTTTCAGCGAATTCGATTTCGTCACCCACTTGTAGATCCATCTCTTTCGGTTTGTTTGCTTTATGAGGTAATACAGCAATATTCAATCTACGAACTTGGTTACTAAAATAATATAAATCATCTAACGAGGTAAACTGAGCTGATACATCTTCAAATTTGGGACCATTCATTTTTTCATAAGCTAATCGGCAAATCTACAAGGAAAAGTGAAATGCAGAAATTTTATTTTAATAACAAACAAAATTTAATTCAATTGGATTTATTCAACTTTTTTTTCTAAAAAAGTCGTGAATTATGTTTCATTAATTATAATATACAGTTAAAATTAATAGAATTTAAGTTTCTAAATAAGAGTTTGGATATCATATATTCTCGTTGTGTCTGTTCATCCAATCGATACGTTGTCGTGGTTATCAATATCAATATTTACAATATATTAATTATTACTAAAATTGATTATTCATTTTTTTTTTTTTTTTTTATATCGTGAAAACAAATATATAGAATCTGTATAAAAAAGATACAACAAGTAATAGACATATTATAAAAAGAGTACAACGCTTGACGACTTGATTGAAAGGGGCGTCTAGTAACACTACTTCAACTTGAATAAATTTTTATAATTTTTTTTTTTAATTGATAACTCATAATACAGAAAAATTATTCAGTCTATACAAAAATTGAAGTTAATAAAAAATAGGTTAAATAAATGAAATGCATATTAAGTTATTGTATTAAAAAAAAAAAAAAACAAAATAATAATAAATTCATAGAGTAAATAATAATAATAAAAAAAAAATACCAAAATATGAGTACCTATTTATTTAAACTCACAATAGGAAATATTAAATTATACTAACATATGACTATAGGTTCTTTATAAAACTTAAAAATGTCTTATAGACAGGATACTGATTAAGATTTGTTGTATATAAAATTCAATATAAATAATATAGTAATTGATTTAAGACATTTATTTTGATTTATTGTACACACAAGTTAAACATATTGTTTATGGAATTATATACTTAGTTATTATTGATTGAAATATATTTATTAATCAAGAATTTAGAAATATTCGGTTACTTAAAGAATGGGATTATCTAATGTGTTATAATTGTAGTGAAATAATGATTTTGACGTACATGGGATGAAAAAGTGCAAACTAAATAGTCATACCGAGATAAAAAATGGATGTTGATATTGATATTGATAATGGAATTGTCCAACTCTCGGCTTTTCACGGACTCAGTTTTTGATAAATCTGCATCACCAAGTATTTTGTATTCAGTATATCTAAAATGTAACGCTGTTATAATTACGTATGTAAAAAAAACAAAAAATTTAACTTGTTTGTCATAGACTTCTTTAAATAACGTTGGGTCGTCTGTAGCTAAATATATTGTTTTGGAGTTTATTATTATGTTATTTAGTTCTTGTAGTTTGTAATACTCTTCGACGTGGTACATGTATTCTTCTAGCTTATGAAATGATTTAATTTTTTTGGTTCGTGTGATGTGCACACTAAAGAATGTATAATGACAAATGTCAATTATTAAAGTGTTCTTGTAATTATGCAATTAACTTAATACTTTTTGTATTAATTGTGATAAGTATATTTTTCTATCATATCATTGATGTTTATCCGACTAACTTACGGATATTTTTTTACGTGTATTTAGTTAATACTTATAAATAATAATACTTTATTTCAGTTACACGGCGTATTGTATATGCAATTTTAATACTTCATATCACATAATATCATTTCAATATAATATTATATAACTATTAACTATAGAAGTATTTTACCACGTTATAACTATTTTAGTAAATTAAAAGTAATAAATAGAATTTATATAGTACATGAAATATGTTATCGGTTATTGTTTGAAAATAAAATAAATCTTCATGTTCATAAATATTTGATCGAAAACTACAATTTAAAGTAACGGAATACTATTTAGTTTTATAATATATTATTTCACATAAAATAACCCCTATTTTTAATTATATATATATATATATTTAATTCTTCTTTCCGTTATATTCGTTGCGTATGGAATTTTTAACACATTTTGAATGAAGGACACATTTTTATTGTTTATAAATATTGACAATCAAATTTATTTTATACAAACGACATCTTGCGTCAAAAAATGTCAAATTATGTTATACGTAGATAATATGTACCCGACGACTGGTCCGGCGAATTTGAAAAAGTCTTCGTAATATTCAAAAACGTCGATAGTTGACATTTTTGGCCGAGTTAAATAATTGACGAATTGTCCTATCCACCAGACGGCAGGGTCGCCGTGCAAGGCATTTAATCTTTGGCTCAAGTCTTCGGGTAATACTAGCGGATTGAACGGCGTTGGTTGCGGCTTCCACTTACGATTTAAGTCTCCGGACGCTATGATGGGAAGACTGAGATTTACCACTTGAATACTATCGTTACCTATATACATAAAAATATTATTTAATAATATAATGTGTTTTATACTAGAACTTATTTGTTATTTGCTAATCTTTTAAAGTGTATGAATAGATACAATTATTTAAATAGTTTTAAAGAATTTTAAATATTTCTTAAGTATTTGTTTATTTTATTCATAAATGCTTTTTCTGAAACATTTATTTCGAAATACAATAGGGCTTATTTTTCTAAACAATCGTATCTAATATACTTTGTAATAGAAAAATGTATTCAAATATAAAGGCACTGTCGATAGAAAATGTATGTGTCTGGGTGGAGCGATAATAACCCAGTTACAAGTAAAATACAAAATTAAATTTCTCAAGCATTATTTTTTTACAACTCTAATGGTGTTGAAAATCATTGTTGTCGTAAATAAATTATATTACCTGGCCAAGATAGAACTGTTTCGTTCTTGCTTAACGATGTACATGTATTGCTTAGTGGAAAAAACAGCGCTGTGAATCCACCACTAGTGAATCCCCAATTGTGGGGATTGTTTAGGATCAATGTTCTCTTGGTAGCGTATGCTACAACCATACAATTGACGAGATGGTGTAAGCGACAACTATAGCCACACGACAGACAGTCCTAAGTATAAACATTCAAATAAACGACTCACGCTTTCGTAAGATCCGTCACACTAGCTCTTTGACTTCAAAATTTTGACTACAAATTAGCTACTATTTTTTCATATGTCTAGAAACATTTTGTTTCTAATCTTGCTATTAATATCAGCTAATCTCTAAAGAACAAAAAACAAAATGTTTCTAGACAATTGATAAAATATTACGTCTAAATTGTAATCGAAATTTGATTTCGGGGTCTTGGTGTGACAAGCCTATTTTTGCATACAATTTTACAATTGAAACCTCGTGTTAAGGGTTTGTGATAAATATTTAGTAGAACCTCATTAATTTGAATTTCATTAGACGATACTTTGCTTAATCTGGACAGCCATTTAAGGGTGTTTTCATTTTTGTTTTGAAATAATCCATAATATTTAATTTGGCGTCTGCTGTCAAAGATATAAAATCATTAACTTTGATTAATTTACGGAAGAAACTTTTAAAAACTCAGCTATACTATAAAATACTGAGTGTGACTAGAAGCAAATTATGGTGATCTAGAACATTACATTTTAATTTTTAAATGAGAAGAATATTGTTGAAAGTATGATTGCTGAAGAGTGTTTTGAATGAATGAATATAACCAGGATGAAATAAACGTTATTATTAACCTAGAGCCAAAACTTAGTGGAATAAAAAACTATTAAATATTGTCATTAAATAAATCGAAGATAACAATGATTTTAATATATCACAGCATATTACGAACATTTAAGGTATTTGCAAGAATTAATTAATAAAATAATTGATTATAAAGAAAGATAACTTAATAATGATTTTTTTGGGCCTAATAATATGTTTGTATTTTTATATTATAATTTATTACATATATTTTTAAATAAATCTCTAATACTCGTTTTTTTTTTTTTTTTTGGTTATTTTGTTTAATTTGGATTTTCATTAAACCGGACAACCTAGCCCCAATTAGCCAGATTAATGAGGCTCTAATGTACTTATATTTTGTATGTTTGTATGCATTTATATTTACTGAGATTAAGTTGCACGCGAGTTTTTTCACTTTGGAGCAATCTTGTGGATTTTGTAAAATTTTTATTCTTTTGTTGACTAAAGTACTCAGATAGATGTATTCTTTTCGTCTCCACTGTGAGTAACCATCAACCACTGCAAGTTTGGCGATATCATTCAATAATGATCTATAATATCTGTTAATAGTTTTTTCCATATAAATTATAAACGGAACTTTATTTTTCATTGATATCATTAACGATCGTAGTTCAAAACTGATGTAATTCCAAAACTCTTTTGTGTTGGAATAAATACGGCGACGGAGTCGTTCATAATTTTCAGACGGCCTGTTTAATTGTTTTTGTTTTGAGTTCTGTAATAGATTAAATGTAATAAATAAGTACATAAATGTGTTAATATACGGTATTTAACAAATTTTATTATTATGTTTTTTTATTTTTTTATTGACCACTAAAATATTTTAGATTCTAAGCATGGGGTTAAATGCATTAGATTTAAAATGACGTATTATTGATCATGAGATGAGTCGATACATCGGACATATCATCTTTTTTAGAAGTACCTAGTAAAAATATTTTAATATTCAACTTTAAAAGTGGTATCTAATAGACAATATTGTTAATCAGTATTTTGAGAGGTTGACAGTGAAATATTCTAAGTACTTTTTAAAATAATAAATAATTTTTTATACTTTTAATCAATTAAAAAATTATTAAATAAACAATAAATTTATAAATATATTTCAAAAATGTTTAAAACAATCGTTTTTTTTCCAATAAAATATATAAAAATAAATATTGGTAAATAATTTAAAACTAGTAATAATACTATAAAGTGTGTAATTAATATATTTTTTGATTAGCAAAAAAACATACATAAATTTAAAAAAGCTAAAAAGTAAGTTAGTAAATTTTAGATTATTTATTTATTATTAAGTACCAATCTATGCATCTATTTTATCTATTAAGTATATAATTATTGAAATAAAAGGTAATGTTCTTAATTATTAGTTCTTTATTATGATAATCATTACAATAATTAATGAGTTACATTTTTTTGATTTAATAAGCAAAAAATATTGTCACTTGTTTGATAATTTTGTAGTTATTAATGAAAAGAAGTTATTTGAGAACATAAATCAACGGCAGTCGTGCTATATCATGGTCTTAGAATAATGTTACAGTTAATGGTTAGTGTATGTTCTGATGCTATACTACTATAGGGCACAAATTATTAGCGTTATCAGTTATTAAAAAACAATAATTGTATATAAATGCACTTGTGATATTATAATAGTGAACTTGGTTTTTACTGGATCATCCTAATTCTAATTTGAATAAAATAGGTGTATTTTCAACGAATTATTATTATTCTATAATTAAAACTACATAGAAACAAATATTTTGACACAGAATGCGTTGGAACATATTATTCTAAAATTGATTTATATTGGATTTTTGAATTAAGAGAAACTATTTGAGTAAGATGCACGTATTTTTAGAATTTTAATTTTTTGTAATAAAAGCTATCATATAATATATCAAAATAATATGAAAGTCTGTCTTTGGTTAATGAAAAAAATGATACTATAAATACACATATGTATACTTACATTTTTTTTTAAGTTTCTCATCCTGAAAATATAAAATATGTATGTAAAAAAAAAAAAAAAACACTATATGATATTCATTCAAGGTAGAAATATAATAAGTGTATAATAAGTTTACCTTTTATTTAAGACGATAACTTGATGTTTTAGTTTAGCATTTTTTTTATGCAGATAATCGAGCTCGGAAAGAGCATTGGTTAGCTTTTCATTTAAACTTTCTTCGGAGATATTATCTACTTGTTGTTTTTGATTAATAATCACCAACAGAAAATAAATATATAAAAGTATTAAAAAAATACTAATTTTCTGCCAGAATTGATAAATTTTCATTTTTTTTTTTCTTAATAATGGTTTCTGTTGAAAATTTTATGAATATTATTTAGAGATTTATTATATAATATAATAAATGAGCATATTTTTTTAAAGATTAATGTGTCGACAATTTTTAGAAACGTTGATTTGCTTATAAAATGTTGCGATAAATAAGAATAACATTTTTGTGTTTTGATCATATGGATTACTTTTAAATTAATTTAAGCTATAATCAAATCTCTTAGTAAAATTATTAGTGTTCTTAAAATATAAAAAAGACATTTGAAATAGTTATTAAATATGTTTATAATAATATTTAGTAGGTATATAAATGTATTATATAATTTAATAATTTCGGTAGATGTATAATATAATATATTTTGTAATAATTATTTAGATAATAATTTATTATACAATATTAAACTAAACAATATGTAAAAAATAAAATAAATATTAAATTAATGATTACCTGATTTAAATTTTTTTTATTTGAACAAAATTGAAATCTTTATTTGAATTATATTAAATATATTTAAACTATTTTGTCTTCAGACATTACTGTTAACAGTCCGTTGGTTTTTTGCCGTTTCACGTAACTGTTTATTTTCAATTTTCGAATGAATTCAAATTACAATAGAATATTATAATAAAATAATTATTAACTGTCATATTTTATAATATTTTTATTATTATTATTATACTATAGATTGTATCACAGGTGTACTGCCACGTGTGTCAACATACAATCACTTTGAATCGACGAAGGTAGACAAAACACACATAAAAAATTAATTTTATAGAATAATATTTTGAATGGATATTTATAGTTATTTTTTTCATTATAATATTTAATAAAATATAACTAAAAATAATATTATGTTTTGGACATGGTGATAAAATTAAGTAAAAAAATCCGTTTGGTCGGCGATGGTTACTAAAGAATCGATTTTGGCGATTAAAACCAGCAGGTGTAGGGAGTTAGTAGTTACTACTTATGTTACTTTAATTGATGATGTTACGAGAGGTCCGTTGAACCTCGATTTTTGCATCAGAGACGGCAGTCATACGCTGTAATTACTTGTCACATTTACCTAGCAATGTTACGTGTTAGGTTGCTGTTAAAATATATGATAGATGTTGCAGTTATAAACCTAGCTTCAGCGTTATCGAGTTACGCCCATCGATAAAAATATGATAATGTTATTATCATAGAATTTATGTGTCTATGAATTTAACTGACACAACTTATTTCCGTTTTATTTCAAATTTCATCAAGAACATTTGTTTTTGTTGTGTTTTTCATCGTCTGACAAACGACCAGAACATTTTGGCCATTGATTGAGGTCAATTTAAGTAATGTGAATTGTGTTGGTTGATGAGCGTCAGCAGTAAAAAGAAGCAACGTTTTTATAGTCGATATTATTTATGACATCTGTTAGACGAATTAGGTTGATTGCCAGCATAATATTTAGTTGAATTTTTTTTTTTTTACTGTCCATTTCAGCAAATTATTTAATCACGAGGATCTAGTAAGGTTATTAAATGCTAAACTTTTTTTACTGAAACATTTTAAATACATTTTTAAATTAATTGAAAAATTTTTTGTTTATAGATTTCAACTTTTGATCATATATGTATAAACGTATATAATATATAAAACAGGTACTATTTATGTTTAGGTTAGTGTTTAGATTCAATCACTTTTATTTTGATCATCTACGTATCTAAACAATGTAGTTTATATTTTTTAAATATGAAGTCATATGCATATCGTTTGTCTGAGGAATTTTTTTTAGCTACCAACATATTATATGTATACTTAATTGGGGCGAGCGTATAACAAATATAAAAAATAGGTACTAAAATATAAAATAACAATTTTTAATATTTAAATAAAATAACATTTTATCAAACTCTTATAATTATATTCAATGCAATGTATTACATGTTATTTTTTTACATATATTATATATTTATAAGCTTATTGATCAATTTTAAAATGGTCAAAATACGTATTAATTAGGCATAACGTCTACTGTATAAGAAATATTGGCCATTTTAACATGCCAAATAACGTAATAAAGTATTAATGATAATGGTCAAATAAACTCAAATTCGTCCAAATGAAGCATTGGCCTTCCTCACACAAAACCAACGAAATATATATACCTAATATATGAAGCTAGTATACATCTATTTTTTACTATATAATTTGTATAAAATATTTTCAGTTTATACTTTCTTTGCAATATTATTAAAATAGTGATAATATTTTTTATTTTACGCATATAAAATATTTATTAAACGATTTCAACTCGTTAAAACTTTTACTGAATCGAATTATTATTATTTTCACTATTTACTTAGAATACAGGTACCTATATAAATGTATATTATGCTGTTTAAACTACAAAATGTATAATTTATTCCTATATTATTAGGTATCTACAAATAGTTTCGAACGTAATATTCTACATAAATAATAATTTAAATTATTAACGCTACTATTTGTATGAAATATTTAATTATATTTAATGAAAGTATTCTGACACGAAGGTATACAAGAACACTAATTTACACGTGTCCAACGTCATTTCACTTTACATTTTCGAAGACTTATAATGACGGAAATCATTTAACTGTATACTATATATATGCGGATTTAAATGTTGATTATTACTGTACTATCATTTTTAAAAATATTGATAAATAGTTTGATATGACGTAAACTGGTTTATTTAAGACAGATTTCAATTGCTCCATTCATCGAGCCGCAATATTATAATATAATATAAACGTTAAGTTTTCTTCCATCGCTTTATTACTATGCAATATCGTCATAATATTGAAACTAATATTATGATATATAAGTATTACATTTTTATAATCACACTCAAATTTAGGGTAAGGTTGTTCTATCATGGGGTAATAATACATCAATATCGATGTATATTAGTAACCTTGAGCGATTTTAAAATATAAAAGCTACTCGTATTATACATATTATATAATACTTAATATCATATACTGATATTTAATAATATATTATATTTTTTATGATTTTGTACACATTTATGTATATAGTGTATATTATAATACATATGTATTCGTTTTTACTTTCAATTATATAACTTAACGTAATTTACTACAAAATTGAATGAAACCTAACAATCGATTTTTGAACTAATATTAATAGTTTACTTATTTTTTTAACAAGTTAGTTTAAAATCGTTGGTATATGAGGTATATTTTAAAGCTCTAATAAAGATTGAGATTAAAAATTGATTTAATTTAAATTATGTTTTTGCGAGGCCTATTTTTAATTCGTAAATTTTTTAATATTATTACTCTACGTGAAAGCCAAATTCTATAAAATGTACTTAACTTAGAAATATGAATTTACTTCATTTAAAACCCGTTTGATACATCTGTAAATAAAATAAAAACAAACTTACGTACCTATGCATTGGCTGAATATATTTTATTATATATAATTATATTATCGGTATTAATATGCATTATATTTAAGTTTTTTATTCATGGATGATTTTATAATATAGAATACTTTTTAATAATAAATATTTGATTATAAAATCAATGAATGTAAAATACGTAAATTATTGAGATACTTATGATTTATAATAAAACTACTGTACTTGGTATCTGTGTCATCTTGTTTTCAAGCTCTTAACAATGCAACGGACACTATAAAATCTCGTATTTTAAAGTAAATATTAGAACGTAGATATTAGTTCAAATTTATATTATTTATTAAGCCATTTAAGTTGCTCTATTTTTTTAGTAAACACAATTTTTTTAAATTATATTTTTATGTTATACGGCGTATTGTATAGGCAATAGAGGCGCATTGTTAAGTACTTATAAAATATTAATGAATCAAAGGTTATGATTTGATTATCAAAAGTTAAATAAATAAAAATTTAAAATTTAAAACTAATATGTTTTAAAAAAAGTTAATTTATACAAATACATAATAATAGACATGGCCAGCAAAAATTACTGAAAAAAAATGGAACCTGCATGAAGTTTATGAAATAATGTACTTTTGATTGTTACTAATGTTCTTTAAAGCTTAAAGTTATTATGCTTAATGATATTTTGTATTTACTAAATTTTACTTATTATAATTAATCAGACCTGTATACTTAATTATATTATATAAAAAGTTGAATATGATCCATTTAAAATACGAAAAGTTGTAATTTTTTAAAAGAAACATAATTAATTATATTATAATTGTAAAAAAGTATTTTTGAATGCTTAATATTATGTTCGTACATAACAATCAAATTACGAAGGATTAGTGAACTATAGTAACACTTCAAAACAAATTTTGCTTTATAATATAAAATTAAAAATATATGTTGTAATTTAAAAAAAGTAAAACGTTAAAAATGAAAACGATATAAAAATTGAAGTACCTACTTATACATTTTTTTTTCTTAAATGTTATTTTATAGTTATTACAAGTACATTCGATTATGTAATTATGTAAAAAAACTCTGGACTTTTCTAAATAATGAGTTTAGATACTTAAATGGATTACCTTGTACAAATAAATATATATGCATTTTTATAGTTTCAATTATGTAAGATTATTTAAATAATATAAAAATAGAATTAGTAATGGTTTAACTATTTTTAAAGTTTGAAAAAAAAAAATACAAGGTGAAATAGCTAATTGGTCTAAATACACAATTATTTTTGAAATAACACCAAATAGTTAATAGTTATTACTTTATGGTTTTTATTATGTAAGATTTAATATATTTTTATTAATTTATAGTGTGTAGTACATAATCTATTCTCATCGAGCGTTAATCTGCATAATAAAATAAGTCTTAATATCTGTTAGTGACTCACGGTCGTATGCTTATAATTTACATACATATTTGATTTATAAATTGTCATAAATATCATTGTTATAATTAGTTGTTGGGATATAATATCGTACATTAGTTATTAACAAATTACATTTTTTAAATTTGTAACGCTTATCAAAATTTAAAATGTTATGAATGACCTTAGAGCTTAGTATGACTCATCAGTCCCTAGGTATGTTATTTTAATAATATTATAAATATTTAAATCAAGTACTTAATGACGAATATTATATTGTATAAAATGAATTACTCCGGTTATTTTGATATTATGTTATTATCACGCGATTTTAAGCGCTATTTTTAAATTATAATGTATAATATAATATTATTGTTCAGTTTCAAGTAATTATTATTTCTTGACCATTTATATTATATTTACAAAGAGTACACATGTATATCATATAATTACATTCTGATTTCATGTATTAAAAATATAATTACGTAGAACGGATACCTCTATACGTACTGAGCTGAAAGTCTTGCATCGAAAGTAAATATTTTGTTACGTGTATCGGCGTACCGGATGCGTAACAGAAATTGAGAGTTTAATTACTCATAAATTAATTTTTAATATTTAATCATCACGAGTAATAATTATTACACCGTATACTGATATTCATACATGTATAATGTATATATAACGTATACATATATATTTTACACAACTATCTTAAACTCGTTCTTAAATACCATGTTATTAACGGTTTATTATGTACTTTTTGATATCATTACGCGAGCAATTATTTATTATATCAGTTGCAGTACTTACATACGCAGTATGACTTCTAGTACAGTTGGATATTATTCATATTTTCGCTAGCAAACATATCAATTATACGTGTATTTTTAAAAAAGATCACCGTAAAAGACGTTTTTATTGCACCCACGATTACGTACATTATTTAAATAAAATATCTGTAACAAACGAAACGATAAGTGCTTATAATTGTTTTTGAAATTAATTGAAAAAACGTCCATTTTGATCGAAAAATGTATGATTCAACATGGTGCATACGCAATAAATCATTATTACAATGTATTAGGAAAGTTTTTATAAATAAACAAAACACGTAGGTGGCAGAACATTTTTGGATTTCCATAGAAAAATTTACGCGGTACAAGTGTATACGTTGGCATAATATATTTTACCTTGTGCGAGTTGATAATATGAGCTTTGTCGACGCTTTCTCCTCAACTGTAATTATAATTTCTAAGATTATGAAAACATTATTTAACCGTGTCGTTCGATTTGACTTAATTAACGTTCTCAAGCCTTGAGTGATCGAATTAAAATATTATATGTTGCACCGGAGCCGCCTTATACTTTGTCGTCGTGTGGGTACGTTTCATTTTTTATCTCGCGGCCTCTCGCCGACAGCTCAAGGACGAAAAATATAACGCGACGTGTCCGCGCGTCGGTCAACCGCTGTGGCGGACGACGTGCTTTTTCGTGTCACCGTAACATTCGCTTTTGCGGTCCACTTCAGTTTTATCCGGCGGGCATTTAATAATTATAAAAAAGGACCGCCGAGACCTCGTCGCACGAACACAAGTCTTTCGGCCGATGCGCGATGACCGCGACATCGACGAGTCATCCGATTTCCTCGTCGTTTTCAGTCAGCCATATCTTCACGTAGTCCTGTCCGCGCTACCTACTGGCTACTACTACAGGTTAGGTTAGATTGGTTTAAAAAGGAACAATTTATATTTTACTATAAACAGGTACGAGTGCGTAATTCGCCTTAAGTGTGTATATGTGTGCATGCGTGCCTGTGTGTGTTGTGTGACAGTTCCAGGTCGATCTCATTACGTTGCATAACTATGTTACTTCTCGTTTTGGACACACGCGTCTTGGTTATAGCAGCTATGTACCTACGCTGACGCCGCCACAACATTCTCGTCGGAATAGAAAATAACGCACATAAATACGCGCTACGGCGGTTGTTTGCACACACAGTTTGCACAGGTATTACATATTATCTCTTGCTCCCACATTGGAGAGATTAACATAAATAACGAAATATATATATCAGCCTCGGGGGCGCCTCGGACCGGTTTCCGAAGACCGACGCCACCACACCGCCACGGTCGCCTCACGACGACGCGTTCGGGTCACCTAAATCTTGCGGATAAGATCCCTAGAGGCTATTTTTGTCCCCCCTCATCATATACCCCGCCAATCGATTGCTGACACTGCCAAAATAAAAACAAGATATTGTGTATTGGTAACTACGAAATTTTCATTTATATAAGTCAAAAATTACTATTAACCTATTCTATCGTCACGATACATAAAATAATAATATATAAAAATTAAATGAAGATTGTACATGAAGATTAATAATCATTATAATAATAATAATAATAATAAAAAAAAAAAAATATAATAATAAAAATTTTACATCGAAAAGTATAAATATATACAATTGCATTAGGTAAAGAACTAGGAAGAATATAATTCTATTATAAAATTAGACAATTATTGTTGTTGGTTTAACGCGTTTGATTGTGTGCTTTCAAAAAAAATTAGATATGAAATCATCAGTGACGGCAGTTAATTGTATAGAGTTTAATATATTATCGTTGATTAATTGTATTTTATTCTTAGGTACTTTTTTTCGTTTAATTTTAAATTAATAAAATAACGAAAGTATGAGCATGTTGATGTTTATGTATACAAGTCGACATATATTTGATTTCGATATGTTTTTTAATGTGATTGTGAGATCGTTTTTTTATTTCGATTTGAATGAACTTTTTTGATCTCAATCTATATAAAAAAATATTAATTTAAGGTCTAAAAATATATATGCAAAGTGCAGATAATATAATATGGCATTGATGGGTTAACATTATATGATTTTTGCAATGATGGGACTTACGTTTTTTAGCATATTGATACCGTAATATCCGTCGTATAAAAAAGAATTAAAACATATATTAATTATACAATTAAATTTAGTATTTAGCTCCTGCTGCTGGAGTTTTGGAGACATTGGCGAAAAATCCGTTGTCCCAATCGGCGTAGTAGGTGACTGTTCTTATGGAACCGTCGGGCTCGACAAGGCTGTATTCTCCTTTCACGACTTCACCATCACGTTCTTCTTTTTGGCTCTTCTTGTCACCAGTGTATGAATCGTCAACACTGTATTCGTAGGCGTATCTTGGGTTCTCATCCTGAAATATGTATACAAAATACAATAAATCGCTGGGTCATGGAATTCGTAATTAGGTTATAAGATATGTACGCGTAATCTTTGTGTATTGCTCTCGGAAAATTACATAATACGATTTTAGCATATGAGAGCCGGTTGGTGCGAAATAAGTTATTTTCCTACACTAAATTACAAATATTTGTTATTTGTTTTAATTTATGTTTCGAAAAAATTTAGTTTTCTCAAGTTTATCTAAAAGTCACAAATAAAATATTTTACAACGATTTTCAAATTGATAAGAAAATAAATTCGAACACGTAAAATAATTTATTTTAATATGAAGTATGTAGGTACATTGTATAACATGTTGTTTTGGTAGTTAGCTTATTATTTATTTATTTTTTATCATGCTTACGTAATTTTCCAAATGAGTGTTTACGACGTTCTTAGTTGGTCCAGTTTTTGGTGGTGTTACATAGCTTGAGTAGGTCTTAGCTGGTGCGTATGACGAAGCTGCTGGTGCATATGATGGAGCCGCTGGTGCGTATGATGAAGCCGCTGGTCCGTATGTTTGGGCTGCAGGTGCGTATGACTGAGCTGCTGGTGCATATGCTGGGGCAGGTGCAGCAGCGTACGACTGTGATGAGTAGCTTGGGGCAGAAGAGTAAGATGCGGACTGGTAGCTCTGGGAAGCGGAGTAAGATGGAGATGGGTAGCTGGGAGCTGCTGAGTATTCGGGGGCTGGACCGTAAGAAGCGGCTGGAGGAGAGTATACGGCGATTGGGGCAGATGAGTAAGATTGTTTTGACGTATACGCAGCTGGTGAATATGCTGGTGCTGGTGCGTAAGATTGTTTGGACTCGTATGATGGAGCTTTGGTAACATATTCCTGTTCGTGTTCGTCACATTTTGGTGGGGCCACTGCAACGTACGATGACGGTGTAGAGTAAGCTATGGACTTATGTGCTGGTGCAGAGTATTCGGGTTTGGCGGCCTTGTAGCTGCTGCTTGAGTACGAGTTGTAGCTCGATGGTTGGTATTTGGGTGCGGGAGCAGAGTACTTTGGTGCAGAAGCGTATACTGGTTCGGGAACGGCGTAGCTTGGGGCTGGTGTGGAGTAGCTTGGTGGAGAGTATTTTGGTGCAGACGGAGAAGCGTACACTGGTTCGGGAACGGCGTAGCTTGGGGCTGGTGTGGAGTAGCTTGGTGGAGAGTATTTTGGTGCGGATGGTGAGGCGTACACTGGTTCAGGAACGGCGTAGCTTGGAGCTGGTGTAGAGTAGCTAGATGATGAGTAACTGGACGAAGAGTAACTAGATTTTGGTGCGGATGGTGCAGCGTAGTTTGGTTCTGGTGCGGCGTAGCTGATGGCTGGTGCAGAGTAACTAGATGATGAGTAGCTTGACGAGGAGTAGCTGGGTGCAGAGTATTTCGGTTGAGAGTAGCTGGCCGGTGCTGCTGAGTAAGATTGGCTAGGCACACCGTAGCTTGGGGCGGGTCTAGAGTAGCTAGATGATGAGTAGCTGGATGATGAGTAGCTGGGCTTAGAATAACTTGAAGGTGCTGAAGAGTAAGATGGGTTGGGTACAGCATAGCTGGGAGCTGCAGTCGAGTAGCTGGATGCAGAGTATGCTGCAGGTGCCGCGGAGTATGCAGGTTTGCTGGCGTATGACTTTGGTGCTGAAGAGTATGAGTAAGATGGTGCTGGGGTGGTGTACTCATGTTGAGCAGCATCTTCACATTTTGGTGTGGTTACTGAGTATGGTGCAGCTGGTTTGTAATCGCCTTTGTATTCATGTGGTGTGTACTCTGTAGTACTAGAAACGTATTGTGGAGCTTCGTATTTGGGTGTAGAGTACACTGCTGGCTTGTATGCTGGGGCAGAGTAAGCAACCTTTGCTGGCTTGTAGTTGCTGGTGTAACTCGGTGAAGAGTATTTTGGGGTACTTGGCGATGCATAGCTCGGGTCAGGAACTGCGTAACTCGGAGCCGAGTAGCTGGGAGCCGAGTAGCTAGGTGCAGAGTAGCTAGGAGCCGAATAGCTAGGGGCAGAGTAGCTGGAAGCTGAATAGCTAGGGGCTGAATAGCTTACTGCTTCATAACTGGGCTTGAAGTAAGTTGGTTTGGGTGCCGGAGTGTAAGATACTAGACTCTGAGTGTAATCAGATTTGCTAGGTCCATATTTTGGTGGATGAGAGCACCCATCATCGTGTTGATGACTTTCTGCTTCATATTGGCAGCTGCAGCTCACAGCCAATAACAGCGTAACCGCTAATACCTTTTAATTGTAAAAAAAAACAATTTATTTAAAATACGTCGTAATCAATTTATGTAGGTAATATGATAAGCAAATAATAGATATTATACATCTTAGAAGTGTATATAATTAATGATGTATTAAAAAAGCTCGACTAATTACAAACAATATATACTTCGTATTAGTGTTTAGAAATATAGATGTACTAATTTGTTGATTGATGTACATTATATTGTTTTGTATTTTTTAAATTGAATTCATAAAAATAATTTTATATTTTGAAAATATAATTTTAAGAATTTTAATATTCAAAAACTGTTTTTACATACCTTTAATTCCATAGCGGTAATTCTCTGGATGCTTGAAATATAAACACTTAAACTCACGAAGAAATCGAATTTAAACTAACACCAAAACCAACACACTGCGCGCACGATTCGATGCGGTTCGTTAGACGGACACCAATCACTAGGTGCAAGCCCGCGTTTAAGATTTTATACATAATACATCCCACTTCTGTCATGAGGCTAAAAAAACATACCAGCGTATGGTTATCCCCTACCCGTTCCAGATTACTATCACCTTGTCACCAGTTAAAGCCCCCGAGGCGGTTTTTTGGTCCAAACGTTTGGGTGTGGTTACTAAGGGGGCCGGTTATGCGCTGGTGTGGCTATAATATGCAACAGCGTTGCCCCCTGGTCAATATCGATGTTGTGTAGTTATTTAATATTAGCCATCGTTTTTATCGTCAATAATTATAACGGCCACGATATATCTATTTTGAAGCGGTCCATAACCACAAGACAAAATATCAATTTACAGATATTATATAGCCGCTATAACGGCCTGATGAAATATTATGTTTGTTACGAACGGCCTTGAAAACTATTAGATAACTGCCGAGAGTTCGACTTTAAAAACGAAATTTCGTTTTGTTTTGGAAAATGTTGACAATGTACATATTGTTGTATGTTTGATCGTTCAAAATATTTAGCACCCATTTTTAATTAAAATCACACCTCATTTAATTAGGATTTATTTTTGAGCGCATTAATTTTTATGCGATGCTAATATGTCGATTAATTTATTAAATAACGCCTTCGGTTTCCATGTTCATTAGTGATACATAAAATGATACCTCGGGGTACTTAGTTACAAGCCCATTATACGATGTAATGAACAAAAGTCATTAACAATTCAGTCAACGCTGACATGATATACCGGTTTTTTTCCCCGTTACCTACTATTAAACAAAACACAAGTATTTGACAGTTAACATTTGTTCAATGCGTGTGGGTACGAGCAAATCATCGGACAATACAATAATAAAAATATTAAAATGGAATTATACAGAATTGACTATTTAAAAAACGTTTTACTGGCAATATTATAATATTATTGTAATATACGGCCGTGACTGCGGGCTTTGAATTTAATTACGACCAGTCACGGTGCGGTGATTTTCGCGATTTATTGCACCTTCGTACAGATTTTGTTGTAAATAGGTGCTCCGTCATATGCGGTATTGGCGGTCGAATCTCGTGTTACAGTTATCGTTGACCGAAATCAAGGGAAAACCGTACCAAGTACGGTGAATTGGTACATATATGCATTCGTAAGTATGGGGTATGGGGAGGGCTTAAGAAGAGATAGCCTGCTCTGAACCATTTCAAGCCAATACATATAGTATGATAATTTGTTCTATTTAGGACTTGGATATGATTATTTTATTACTTAAATTTGATTGTTATGACTTATGAGAATATATTTAGTTAATTTGTATTCTATATATTACGATCCAACAAAGTCCGATTACAAAACATTACTGGAAATCCACTAGAATCGAACCTATAGCATTTTTGAACTCTATTCGCACGTTGTACGTATATGAGCACGTAGGGATGCATGTGCAAATATTTTGGCTGTCGTTTTGCGGCGGCGGATATGAGTGGGAAGACACGTGGATCTACTGCGCGGCCGGAGAGTGCGCAAAAAAACATTAATCACGTGGAATGACACTCGTTAAGAGTGAAAAAACTCCTATATGAGATAACATAATATTGCACAATCTCCGAGGAAGAGAGAGATAGAAACACTCGACTTTATACGATCACAGAAAAGATTCGTTCGCTTGTCTGAAGGCACTGTCTAATAAATATTATTGTTATTATTATACTATATTATTTTTATGTATAAAAATGATTGTGCGTTTGTAATAGAATTTGTTCATTTCCGAAATCATCTATCAAATTAGCACAACATTTTGTATATACATTTCTTTAGACTCGGAGAGTGTTTAATGTGTCTATAGCTCAGTTTATTAACATGCTAGGTAATTAAGTCGCTATAAGATGATTCACGCAAGACTTTTGTTTTGGATCACAAAAATTGAATATTTTTCTGTTTATAGATAAGGTTTCCATTAGTTATAGAAATAAAAGAGATTTTATATAATTATACATTTACCAAGCAAGCTTATCCTCAATTTTTTCATTATAAATTAATTTATTAATCCTGAATTTTAAAATTTTTGTATAATATACTTAAGCACCATATTTAGAAATTCGTGAAATGGTTTGTACTTCTTAAGGAGTATTTTGTTATTTAATCTTGTACTTATCAAATGAAAACTACCCTCCCGTTTTCTAATGTAAATTATTTAATGGATCATTTTTTTTGATATATTTAATCTGGAATTTTATAGAATTGATTTAAGTTATTGGAATATTGATAGGTACCTACTGAAAATTATTTTAGTGCTTAAAAATAGTATTATGTAACATATTAAGATATTTGATCTAATATTTATTTTATTTGGTCTATTTTTAAAAACTTTAAATGAATGATATAAGTATTCATTAGTAACATTTAAAAATCATTCATAAGTCATAACACCCACATCTTTCTTAAAAAACATCTTAGAACATCAAGTTAAACAACTCAAAAATACTCGTTTACTCAAATTTTTCATGAAAAAAAATAATCTACTAAATAATTTACAGTAGAAATAGAGGGTTCTCATTTGAAAAACGGAAGTTGATATTTTTATATAACATTCCAAGTAGGGCAAACAATTTCAAGAAATTTATAATATAATCTTAAAACATATATTTAAAAAATCCAAAAATCAAATTTTGAATAACTGCATTATTGAAAAAAAAGAGGCGCGCTTATTTATATTTAATCACTCTGTATAATATACAGATTTGTGTATGTTTATAGCTCATATATTCAAAAAAACACTCGACTGATTTTAATGAAAATTTCAAAAGTTATGTTCAATAATACTACAAAGTTTAGAAAGTAGTTTTAACTTCGTTAAAAATATATCAAGTGCTATATATTATCGTGGTCGAATTATATTCACAAGTATATGGTATACCGTCAATGATTTGCCCGTGAACTAAGGTACACTAAATTCGAGATAGTTCTATTATACATCGCCATATTTTGTATTAGTTAATTTTTTTTTCCGATTAAAGTCGGGTTATACAACTAGTATTTTATATTATTCAGTGGCGTCGAATTATTATTACACACGTCACACGACGCGCCTCGGCCGCCGCCGAGATAAAAATCGGAGCTCGTGCGCGCTCACAGAAATACATGACCAGATGGCAGATAACCCAAACTGTCATCGTGATAATACATAATAATAATAATAACAACAACAACAACAACAACAATAATAATAATAATATTAATATTTATTTTTTTCGCGTGCCATCTGACTGGCGAGTGGCGGCATCGTGTTGCCCCCCCCGGCGTGAACCCCTCCACGTCTGTTGGTCCATTAACATGTCCGCCGCACACGCCAAAATTTATCGTACCATGAACTCATATATTTAAGTCCACACACGCTGCCGCTCATCATCCCCGGAACGCTATAATAATTGTCGTCGTTGCGGTTCATTCTTGCGAAACGCAGGCTTAGGGCACAGCAGATTAAAATCGTTGCGGACTCGGCGCAGAGTTTTCGCCATTTCCAATTCAAACGTTACTCGAGTACCTGCATACATAAACATATACCTACCTGATAATAATATAACCCGTTTAGAATATATAATAAATAATATTATGCTCGTGATATTCCGAAAAGAAAAAAAAAAAAAGAACATTGTGTAATTAAGTTGAATAACAGCCAAACATGTTCACCCAATCACGAGCACATTATTATATTGTCGGTAGATATATGTAGAAAAACGGTTTTAATTGAGCGCACAATTTCTGTACGCGTGTACATTATAAAATCGTTATGTTATTATGCATAAACATTTTTTTCTGTGCTTTACCGTATGACGCCCAGTGAACTGGTTCTGAAGTTTTTTAGTGATCTAACATTCCGACCGTTTTATAATTGGAAACCTACGCACAATTGGTACTGTCCGTCTATAATACGTACATGTAAAAGTTTCCATGCGCTTTATTTCACAAAGCAAAATAAACACTCTCAGCTGGTTATACACATTATGCTGACTGATGTGTTTTTTTTTTTTATGTAACGGATTAAAATATACAATAAATATTTTAAGATTTTAACGGGCATTTGGTGTAATTTGTTTTTTTTTTACTATTATTGTAAATCTATAGAAACCGTCGAGGATTATCTTATAATAGATCGAAAACATTGTTGTATAACATCTGTGATAATTGTTGATATTTTATTGTTACCGCGTTCATATCATTACTGAAGTTACTACAGAAAATGTTATACCATGACATTCGGTTCTGCATGCAGAAAAATCATTAGAGCAATGATGTAGGCGCACTCGCATACAAAGGAGAATAGTACAATTTGATGAAATAATTCAATCGCGGTACTATTATTCGCCGATCTCATTTTGGTTGTCAAATAAAAAAAAGGATGTTTATTTGTTTACACATATAACAAATAATAAATTATTATTGGATTTTACGTGAATATCAAAACTTTTAACATAAGATTGTATACTCAATTATTTGATTCAAATGTTACTGAATTGTTGAAATATTAATTTTTACTTCTTTTCAAAAATATAGGTACACATTTTATAGATATTATTATTTTAATAAGTAAATATTTAATATATGTGTAAAGCATTTTTTCTATTGACGTCAAGGTGAAAGAGTAAAAATTAAATATCTTTAACGATTTGGAATGACTGCAAAGAGTCATTAAACTGTTGTTTTCCGATGACTCAAATTAAATTTATGGATTTGATATAACCGTAGGTGTGTGTTGTACCAATAATCATTGACAGATATCTCTTTGTTTGAAGATCGATCGATCATTTAAAATATATAATATGTAAGAAAGTTAAATTAAACAATTAAAAATTAAAACTAATCATATTATTTTTGTAATATTTTGAATGATTGCACATTTGTAAATACTAAACACATGTGTCACAATATTCAATGCCAACATTATGTAGTAAAATGTTCTTACTGCGTATAATAATATGTCGATTTATATAGATTATGAATCATAAATCATA